TGTCATTCTCTGAAGTTATGCCGTCTGCATAACACATTTAGAACGACAGGCAGATGTGTATTAGGGACATTACCTTGTGGCTTGGTGAATGGTGTCAGGAACAAGGATTTGGCTTCATTTCTCATGGTAGCTCTGTTTGGAATGGAAATAAACTGTACAAAAAAGATGGTTTGCATCTTTCTCAAAAGGGAACAAATTGTAACGAGAATATACCCCTACACGCAGGATCCAGCTAAACAGAGGCAGATACAGAGGAGAGATACGTCTACCGGACCTTAGAATGGCCGGACTCGACGTATATGAGAGAAGACAGAGCCAGGAACAAACCGAGGTCAAGGGCACAGAGAGACAGCGTAAACTAGGACAAGCCGGGGTCTGGTACACGGAAAACAGCAAGCCGGCAAACAGTACAGATAAGGATAAAGCGAAAACGAAGTCAGAATACGAAGCCAAAGTCAATACGAAAACACAACTGAACACCACAAGCGCTAAAGGGAACTGAAACAGAAACCACGATAGGGCAACGAGCTAAGGGAAAAAGGTAAGTTAAATAGCTTTTAAACCAAAGTGATTGGCTCCTGTCACTTCCACACCCCCTATAGGTAATTGTACAGGGAGTGTGGTATGACAGGAGCCAATGGGAGCCTTTTGGCAATTAGGCTCCCACTGTCTCTTTAAGAGCGCGCCCGAGACTCGCGGCGCGCTCTTAGTTTCAGGCGGGACACGTGACCGCTTCACGCGGTCACTGCCGCCTTCCATCTGAAGCAGTCGGATGAGCCGCGCGCGGCTCGTGCAGCCGCAGGACCGCGCGCGGCTTGAAGAGAGGACCGCGACCGGCCCCCGGTTAAAACAAAATGCGCTACAATACCCCTGAGACCGCCCAGGCCCGAAGACCAAACCTAGCAGAAAGCAGCGAAATGGAAAAGCGCACAAAGGCAGGAGCATAGACATCAGCGAAATCAACTGCTCCTCAGGCCCTGCCCTTCCAATAAATACACCGAAAGTACTGAAAGTCAAAGCCCCTAAGGAAACGAGAGTCAAGAACAGCAGACACTTCGAACTCCTCATGACCCTCCACCGAGATAGGAGGGGGAGGAGGAGTATGCCGGGTATAGCGGTTGCGTACGAAAGGTTTCAACAATGAGGTGTGAAAAACATTAGGAATACGTAGATTCCTAGGCAGGCCTAAGGCATAAGAAACAGGATTAACCTTATGTATAATACGATAAGGTCCAATGAAGCGGGGAGCCAATTTCATAGAAGGCACCCGGAGACGAATATTCCGCGTGGAAAGCAAAACCCTGTCCCCACAACATAGGACGGAGCTGCTCTGCGATGCTTGTCAGCCTGAGCCTTCTGGCGAGTAGCAGAGTCCACCAAAGAACGCTGAACCTGCTCCCAAGTATTACGCAAACCAGCCAAATGCTCATCCAGAACTGGCATACCCTGTGAGGAGAATGCAGCCGGAAGAACAACGGGATGCAGGCCATAGACAACGTAAAAAGGGCTCTTGCCGGAAGAATCATGAGTGGCGTTATTCCGAGCAAATTCAGCCCAAGGAAGCAGGTCAGACCAATTGTCCTGATGGTGAGACACAAAACAACGGAGGTATTGCTCCAGAGACTGGTTGGCACGTTCAGCAGCCCCATTAGACTGGGGATGATAAGCGGAAGAAAATGAGAGAGAAATACCCATTTCTGAACAAAAGGCCCTCCAGAACCTGGAAATAAATTGGCTACCCCTATCGGATACAATAGATACGGGAATCCCATGTAATCGAAATACTTCTCTAGCGAAGATATGAGCCAGTTCCTTGGATGTGGGCAACTTGTGAAGAGACACGAAGTGAGCCATTTTGGAGAACCGATCCACTATCATCAGGATTACTGTGTTACCATTTGAAGGGGTAATTCAACAATAAAATCCATGGACAGGTTAGACCAAGGTCTCTCGGGAACGGGTAACGGATGCAACAGCCCACAAGGAACTCTACGGGAGGATTTCATACAGGCACAAGTAGTACAAGCACTTATATAGTCAGTGACATCCTTTCGTAAGGAATCCCACCAAAAATACCGAGAAACAGCTGACACCGTTTTGGAAATACCAGGATGTCCAGCAGTCTTAGTATCATGATATAATGACATAATATCCCGTCTCTCAGGAACATCAACGAACAGTTTATCATTAGGCCTCTCGCTAGGTGCCATGCTTTGTTTCGCTTGTATGGCCTGCAAGAGGGACGAGGAAATAGACAAAATAGTAGTAGCTATTATCCTGTCTGGGGGAATGACAGGAGTAACATCAATCTCCTGTTTGTCAGTAGTTTCGAACTGTCTGGACAGAGCGTCTGCTTTAGTGTTGCGATCACCTGGCCTATAGGTGATAATAAAATTGAAACGGGACAAAAATAGTGACCACCTAGCCTGCCTGGAAGACAATCTTTTGGCTTCGCTAAGGTAGGATAGGTTCTTGTGATCCGTAAAAATGAGGATAGGATCCTTAGTTCCTTCTAACAAATGTCTCCACTCTTTAAGTGCTAAAATAATAGCAAGGAGTTCGCGATTACCCACATCATAATTTTTCTCTGCTTTGGACATTTGTTTAGAAAAGAAGCCGCATGGATGCAATGGCTTTTCAGGCGACTCTCTTTGGGATAAGACAGCACCTACCCCAATATCCGAAGCATCAACTTCAAGAATATAGGGCAGTGAGGGGACAGGATGCTGTAAAATAGGTGCAGAGGCGAACGTAGTTTTAAGAAATTCAAAAGCCTGAAGTGCCTCGGTAGACCAAACACGAGTATTGCCATCCTTTTTAGTCATACGGGTAATAGGTGCTACAATGGACGAGAAACCTTTGATAAAACGTCTATAATAATTGGAGAACCCAAGAAAACGCTGAATAGCTTTCAGACCTTGCGGTAGAGGCCATTCTATTACAGCAGCAAGCTTCTGGGGATCCATACGAAAACCTTTAGCGGAAATCAAATACCCCAAGAACTGGACTTCGGTTTGGTCAAACAAACATTTTTCTAGCTTGCAATAAAGACCATTAGCAAGAAGGGTCTTCAAAACTGTCGTAACATGTCTGTGATGAGTGTGTATATCTGTAGAATATATTAAAATGTCGTCCAAGTATACGATAACAAATGTGTGAATAAAATCTCTTAAGACATCATTAATAAATTCTTGGAATACTGCTGGGGCATTGCAAAGCCCAAATGGCATAACAGTATATTCGTAATGACCGGATCTAGTGTTGAATGCAGTCTTCCATTCGTGATTTTCCTTTATACGTATCAAATTGTATGCACTCCTAAGGTCTAATTTAGTGAACACAGTGGCATGTTTCAGCCTGTCAAATAATTCTGTAATTAAAGGTATAGGGTATGCATTTTTGATAGTGATTTTGTTTAGACCTCTATAATCTATACACGGTCTTAAATCACCTTCTTTCTTCGATACAAAGAAGAACCCTGCTCCAGCTGGAGAAGAGGATCTCCTAATAAACCCCTTTTCTAATGATTCCTTAATATACTCCTCCATGACACGGTTTTCTTGAACCGATAAGGGGTACACCCTGCCCTTTGGAGGTATAGTGCCAGGCAACAAGTCAATAGCGCAATCATAGGGTCTGTGAGGCGGTAATTTCTCAGCCTCCCTTTTATCGAAAACAGTCTTTAGAGATAAATACTGAGGGGGTATAACCGTAGACAAAGGAGGACTGGTAGGTACCTCAATAGAATTCAAAGGTGTGACTTCCAACGTACAAGACTCGTGGCAGGCCTCACTCCATGATTTTATTTGCCCTGTCTCCCAGTCAAAAATGGGATTGTGAGCACGTAACCATGGATACCCTAATACTAACTGTGAAGAGGGAGAGGTGATGACCTGGAATCGAATGGTTTCATAGTGTAAAACCCCTGTGTACATGTGTAATGGTACAGTCTCATGAGTAACAACTGGAGAACTTAATGGTCTACCATCTATGGCCTCAACGGCCAAGGGTATCTCCTTCTCTCTGATGGGAATGTTGTTTCTCTTTATAAAGCCAGAGTCTATAAAATTTTCAGCTGCCCCAGAGTCAACCAGAGCATATATGTTGTCAACTATACAAATCTCTCCCATATATAAAGAAACCGGGAGAAGCAAGCGGTTAGGAGGCAATTTAGGAGACTTAGATATCACACCCAAGGCCAGTCCCCTATAAGGTCTTAGGTGCGAGAGTTTTCCGGGAGTAAAGGACATTCCTTTACCATATGGTCTCTCCTACCACAGTATAGGCAGAGTCCCTCCCTTCTCCTATGTAATTTCTCAGTATCAGAGTTTGGCAACCCCTAATTGCATAGGTTCCTCCTCAGACACTTTAACACTCTCTGGTATATTAACTCTGGGGTTAATGGGTGTAACAAAACGTCTATTCCTGTTCTTGGTATAGAGCCTGTCACGAATTCTATTATCTATATCAATGAGGTAATCGATAAGGTCCTCTAAGGCAATAGGAAGCTCCTTAGCTGCTACCTCATCCAATATCGTATCTGACAAACCTTCCATAAAGGCAGTAGTTAACCCATTGTTGGTCCAATCTACCTGCGAAGCAAGAGTGCGAAACTGAATAGCATAATCAGCCACAGACCTAGAACCCTGTTTAATTCTCATTAATGCTCTCGCGGCATTCTTTGACCTTTTCATTGTGTCAAAAGTTCTACGAAAAGCCGTAAGAAAACTGTTGAAATCATGCACCATAGGTCCATTAGCTTCCCAAATAGGATTTGCCCACTCAAGTGCCTTATCGGTGAGTTGGTGCATAAAGAACCCAACCTTAGACCTCTCTGTGGGAAATGAACGTGGATACATTTCGAAGTGGAATTCAATTTGATTAATAAACCCTCTGCAAGTCTTAGAGTCCCCTCCATACCTAGGAGGAGGTGTTAAATGGGCCGAAGTATTAGGCAAAGTAGATACTTCAGGAAGAAGGGGCGTAGGAGGGTTAGGTGTGGTTGCTGGAACGGTTCTAGCTAGGAGCGTCTGGAGAGCCTGAGCTATCTGATCCATACGGTGATCCTGCTCTACAAATCTTGCCTCATGGGACGCCATCTGTTGAGCTAAATCTGCGGGGTCCATGGCCCTATCGTAATGTAACGAGAATATACCCCTACACGCAGGATCCAGCTAAACAGAGGCAAATACAGAGGAGAGATACGTCTACCGGACCTTAGAATGGCCGGACTCGACGTATATGAGAGGAGACAGAGCCAGGAACAAACCGAGGTCAAGGGCACAGAGAGACAGCGTAAACTAGGACAAGCCGGGGTCTGGTACACGGAAAACAGCAAGCCGGCAAACAGTACAGATAAGGATAAAGCGAAAACGAAGTCAGAATACGAAGCCAAAGTCAATACGAGAAAACACAACTGAACACCACAAGCGCTAAAGGGAACTGAAACAGAAACCACGATAGGGCAACGAGCTAAGGGAAAAAGGTAAGTTAAATAGCTTTTAAACCAAAGTGATTGGCTCCTGTCACTTCCACACCCCCTATAGGTAATTGTATAGGGAGTGTGGTATGACAGGAGCCAATGGGAGCCTTTTGGCAATTAGGCTCCCACTGTCTCTTTAAGAGCGCGCCCGAGACTCGCGGCGCGCTCTTAGTTTCAGGCGGGACACGTGACCGCTTCACGCGGTCACTGCCCGCCTTCCATCTGAAGCAGTCGGATGAGCCGCGCGCGGCTCGTGCAGCCGCAGGACCGCGCGCGGCTTGAAGAGAGGACCGCGACCGGCCCCCGGTTAAGGTAAGTAACGCTACACAAATGTTCTCAGTGAGCAGTTCAGCGTTTTTTGCTAGGATGTATTTAAACTAGAAGGGGGGACAAAAGGGTGATAAAACATCAATCCAATTGCCCCCCAAAACAAGGACAGAAGGTGCCTGTAGCAAGTGTGTTAAAAAATGATAAGCTTAGAGTCATGTCTACAAATGCTCGCAGTTTAGGGAATAAGATCCATGAACTTGGGGCAATAATGGCAACTGATAATGTAGATTTAGTCGCTGTTACTAAGACATGGTATAATGAGAAAAATGACTGGGACACAGCAATACCAGGGTACTCTTTATATAGAAAAGACAGGGAATGTGAGAAAGGTGGAGGGGTGGCCAAGTATGTGAAGGATAGCATAAAATCTAGCCTAATAAAAGTTAGTGAGGCGAACATAGAGTCCGTTTGGGTTATGTTAGAATTTGTTAATTACACAGTAACTCGTGTAGGTGTGATTTATAGGCCCCCAGGACAAATAGAAGAGTTAGATAATCTACTAGTTGAAGAAATAGCTAAAATGACAATGAAGGGGGAAGTTATCATCATGGGTGACTTTAATCTTCCTGATGTGAATTGGAAAACAAAAATAGCTGCTTGTGCCAGTAGCACACATATTCTAAACTCACTACTACAAGTCGTTGAGGAGCCAACTCGTAAAGAGGCCATACTAGATTTAGTGTTAACAAATGGAGATTTGGTATCAGATATTACTGTAGGTGAAAGTTTAGGATCCAGTGATCATCAAACAGTGTGGTTTAACCCCTTAAGGACACATGACATGTGTGACATGTCATGATTCCCTTTTATTCCAGAAGTTTGGTCCTTAAGGGGTTAATATAAGAAAAGTGACTGAGTCACACCCCACAAAAACAAAAAAGTTTTAGACTTTAGAAAAACAGACTTTTCTAAAATTAGAATATGTGTAAAGGAGTCATTATCAGACTGGAGCAACCATGTAATGGCGGCCATCTATAGGGCCATGGCGCAACCCATCGATAATGGACAGAACGTCACTTCTCAACTCTCCTCCGCAGATGCTTTTGCGGTGAACTCAAAGTAGTTGTCTTCTTGTGAGCATCCCCACTTTGCGTGGGAGGTGTGTAGGACTGTGTAGGAACCTCAACAGTGGTACCCAAATGATCTTTGAGTGCAGACTAGATGTCTGTAAAATATTTATGCAGACTATCCAGGATAGAAAGTGTTAGGTCTTGGGGTGTGAGACTACACGTGGCATTTGCTATTGTGTAAGAGACAGTATGGCTGCAACTGTAGTAGTATGATGGCACTTATGGCACTTATGTAGGAACCACAGTACAGGCAGTAAGTCCCAGGATATGCCTCATTGGTAGGGAAGGGGGGAGAGCATGGGGAGGACCACGTGATTGTTGGTATGCAGATGGTGGGGGGATCGGCTGCCTCCCTCCTGTTGTTTGTGAAAAGGCTTCTTACAGGTCGCAGGTCAGTCCCCAACTGGAGCCTGTTCTGGTTCTCCGCTAAGTCAGCCTCTGTAGGATCTTCCCGGTTGTCGGGTAGAGTCAGCTTCTAAAAATCTGCAACTGTGGACCACAAGTCGGGTACTCGACTACTTACAGAGAGTTGCTACACAGCTGTCAGGCTTTGCCTCCCCCATCCCCCCCTTTTTTTGCCTAAATAAACTTCTATTGCCAAATATATTGGAGGTTTTTTACTTTTATTTATTTATTAACTTCATCTATTGATTCCTGGTTAGCTGCACATCCTAGGTGCGGATTATATCACCCAAGCTCCACAACACCAAAGCAGGACCCTGCTCTGAAAATTGTAAGTAGGATACAGTGTATAAGTAGTACTTCTACACTGTATAAGTAGGATACACTCTATACTCAATATAGATTTTAATACTCCACCGTTTTGGTTTTCTGTTCTTTCTCTCCACATTATCTGCTGGTACTGGATGTGGAGACGATACATTCTTCCGTTCTGTCACTGTGTGTATGGGTCACTATATATGTGGCAGTGCATGTTTTGGTCACTATATGTGTGTCAACTTGTGTGTGTTGAGAGACAAGTAGGGGGGCAGAGAGGTACATAGGTGGTTAAGAGACACAAAGGGGGAGTAAGAGACACAGGGGGTCAAGAGACACCAAGGGGGTAGTAACTGATGCAAAGGATTTAAGAAACACAGTGGAATAAGAGACGGAAGGGGCTAAGAGACACAAAAGGGGAGAGCAAGCAACATGGAAGGTGAAGAGATACAGTGGATTAAGAAACACAAGGGGATGATAGAAACAAGGGGGTAAAGGGACACAAACGTGGCAGAAGGTGGAGTAAGAGACAAGAGTGACAAAAGGGGGGATAAGATATACTAAAGGAACTCAGACATTTATAAGAGGGGATACAAGACAAAGGCTGGGCTAAGAGCACAAAGGGGGAATAACAATAACAAAATGGGAAACAACCAAGGGGATAAAATCATAGAAAGGAAGTAATATACATAAATGGGGTGAAACGATGGGGAGAAGCAGTGAGAGCACGGGAGGAGCAGGGGGCGCCCGAGACCTCGGAGGATCACCTAGAAGACGCTGTAGACCCTCTGGGACTGGTAAGTGCTGGAAGAGCCTGTTTTAATTTGGACTATTTGGATAGTAACATCTAAACAATGGAAACCTCAGTCCTCTCCTTCTTCCTAGCAGGCCCGTCATCACCCTGACTTCTTTTTCTTCCATTTCCCCTTCACACTCTTCTAACCTCATCCACATGTACCTTCTCTTCTTCTTATCTGTTAACCCGTTGTTACCCTCCTCCCCACTACAACAGTCTTTGTCTCCTTTACCTTTATCATTCCCCTATCTTTCTCGTTTTGTGAATTAGGCATTACACAACATTGTAAAAACTATATATATTTTGAATCAGAGGCGGCTCTAGACTTTGAGGCCTTAGGCTAAACTCAAACATGAGGCCCTACTAACAAAAAAGTGAAAAAAATAGAGTTGCAATACATGCACACTGTCACATATACACATTGATGCACAGTTTACCTGTGTATGTGCCTGAGAGTGTGTCTGACAGAGTGTGTGTGTGTGTGTGTGTGAATGTATGTCTCTGTGAGCAGGAAGGGTGATGAGAGGGAGGGGCAGGGGGTGATGAGAGGGAGAGGGGGGTGATGAGAGGGGGTTAATGAGAGGGAGATGGTGAGAGGGGGTGAGAGTAATAGTGGGTGATGGTGAGGGTGAGAGGGAGAGGGGGTGATGGTGAGGAAGGGGGGGTTGATGGTGAGGGAGGGGGGTGATGGTGAGGTGATGCTGAGGGAGGGTGATGCTGATGAAGAGAGGTTGGGATGATGGTGAGGTGATGCTGAGGGAGGGCTGATTTTGAGGGAGTGATGCTGAGAGAGTGGGGTGATGCTGGGAGGGAGTGATGCTGGAGGAGGGTGGGGGAGAGCGATGGTGAGGAGGGGCTTGATGGTGAGGGAGCTTGATGGTGAGGGGGTGATGCTGAGGAGGGGTGTGACCGAGGGAGGAGGAATGATACTGAGGGAGGGGTTGAGGGGAGTGATGGTGGGGGGCTGATGGTGAGGGGGTGATACTGAGGGAGGGAGGTTGGGATGATGGTGGGGGTGATGATGCTGAGGGGGTGATACTGAGGGAGGTGGGTTAGGGTGATGGTGGGGGGTAAAGCTGAGGGAGGGAGGTTGGGGTGATGGTGGGGGCTGATGGTGAGTTGCAATACATGCACACTGTCACATATACACATTGATGCACAGTTTACCTGTGTATGTGCCTGAGAGTGTGTCTGACAGAGTGTGTGTGTGTGTGTGTGTGTGTGTGTGAATGTATGTCTCTGTGAGTAGGAAGGGTGATGAGATGGAGGGGAAGGGGGTGATGAGAGGGAGAGGGGGTGATGAGAGGGGGTTGATGAGAGGGAGATGGTGAGAGGGGGTGAGAGTAATAGGGGGTGATGGTGAGGGTGAGAGGGAGAGGGGGTGATGGTGAGGAAGGGGGGGTTGATGGTGAGGGAGGGGGGTGATGGTGAGGTGATGCTGAGGGAGGGGGTGATGCTGATGAAGAGGGGTTGGGATGATGGTGAGGGTGATGCTGAGGGAGGGGGGCTGATGTTGAGGGAGTGATGCTGAGAGAGTGGGGTGATGCTGCGGGAGGCAGGGCCGTCTATAATATGAATAGGACCTCGGGCAAAGCCTTTTCTTGGGCCCCCTGGGCCATGTCACTGCACCCTTCCTCCCCATTACACCCAACCTGCAATCACACTGACAGACATACTGACACATACACACACAGACAGACACATTAAAACATTCGCAGATACATACTGACACACACATACACTGACACAAAAATATATACTGGCAAACATTGACACACATTCAGACATACTGATACACACACAGACACATACATACTCACAGACACATACACTAACAGATATATTGACACAGACACACACAGACACATACACTGACAGGTGTATTGACATACACAGACATACTGATATACACACACACACACTGGAACACAGTGAGACATACTGACATACACACACAGACATACTGACATACAAACACACAGACATACACACAGTATGTCTGTGTGTGTTAGTATGTCTGTGTGGTGAGTTAGTATGTCTGTGTGTGTATGTCAGTATGTCTGTGTATGTCAGCATGTCTGTGTGTGTATGTCAGTATGTCTGTGTGTGTATATGTCTGTGTGTGTGTGTGTGTGTGTATGTCAGTATGTGTGTGTGTGTATGTCTGTGTGTGTGTATGTGTCAGTATGTCTGTGTGTGTGTGTGTATGTCAGTGTGTATGTGTGTGTATGTCAGTATGTCTGTCATAGACACACACAGACATACTGACATACATACACAAACAGATACTGACACAGACATACTAACACACACACATACTAATACACAAACACATACTAACACACTAACACACACACACAGACACAGACATACTAACACACACACATACTAAAACACACACACAGACATACTAACACACACACACACATACACATACTAACACACACACATACAGACATACTAACACACACACTCAGACATACTAACACACACAGGCATACTAACACACACACACAGACATACTAACAAACACACACACACAGACATACTAACACACAAACACAGACATACTAACACACACAGGCATACTAACACACACAAGCATACTAACACACACAGGCATACTAACACACACACACAGACATACTAACAAACACACACACACAGACATACTAACACACAAACACAGACATACTAACACACACAGACATACTAACACACACACATACATTTAGCCACCCTCCAGGTTCTTACCTTTTTATGGAGGGTGGTTTCCCTGGGGTCCAGTGGCAGGCTGAGGCAGATGGGAGTTCTTCTCTGGAACTCCCCTCCTCCCTGCCTTCCTCCTCCCGCGCGGCTATCTCCGGTGGGAGGAAGTGACACGCGGTACTCACTTCCTCCCAGCCGGCACAGGAAGGGGCCCGGTCGCGCTGTTTAAGCGTCACAGCGCCCAACAGGGCCCCTTCTGCCACATGCCCACAGGATGGCCCTTAGTGCATGGGCCACCCGGGGGCCTCCTTAGTTGGCGGGGCTGCTCTGGGGCCCCCCCAGGAGCAACTGGGCCCGGGGCAGCTGCCCCGTTTGCCCCGCGCTAAAGACGGCCTTGGCGGGAGGGGGTGATGCTGCGGGAGGGGGGTGATACTGCGGGAGGGGGCTTGATGGTGAGGGAGGGAGGTTGGGGTGATGGTGGGGGCTGATGGTGAGGGAGGTTGGGGTGATGGTGGGGGCTGATGATGAGGGAGGGAGGTTGGGGTGATGGTGGGGGCTGATGCGAGCTTTATATTGTAAGAATCACAAGACCCAGACCTACATTTTGATGCATAGTATGTCTCTGAAATATTAAAAATGAAGGCAGTGGAGGTTGGGGTGATTGGTGGGGCCCGATGGTGAAGGAGGCTGAGGTGATGTCGGGGCCGATAGTGAGGAAGCGTGTGATGCTGAGGGAGGGAGGTTGGGGTGATGGTGGGGCTGATTGGCCAGGAGGAAGCAAAGATGCCAGGAGGGAGGTTGAGATGATGGTGGGGGGCTGATGGTGAGGGAGGGGCAAAACTGAGGGTGGGAGGGAGGGAGGAAGGGAAGAAGGGAGGGGAGGCCAGTGATGGTGGGCCTGATGGTGAGGGAGGTTGAGGTGATGTCGGGGCTGATAGTGAGGAAGGGGTGATGCTGAGGGAGGGAGGTTGGGGTGATGGTGGGGGCTGACGGGTGAGGAAGGGGTGATGCTGAGGGAGGGAGGTTGGGGTGGATGGTGGGGGCTGATGGTGAGGAGGAGGCTGGGGTGATGGGGCCGGATGGTGAGGAGGGAGGTGATGGTGGGGGCTGATGGTGAGGGAGGGGGTTGGGTTGATGGTGGGGGCTGATGGTGAGGGAGGGGGGTTGGGGTGATGGTGGGGCTGATGGTGAGGGAGAGGGGTTGGGGTGATGGTGGGGGCTGATGTTGAGAGAGGGGGGTGATACTGAGGTAGGGATGATACTGAGGGAGGGGGGTTGGGGTGATGGTGAGGGAGGGGGACTGCATACCTTAATTTCCCTGGTGGTCCGGTGGCCATCATTTGTGGTCTGTAGCTCTGCAGAGCTGCAGACCATGTAATCTCGTGAGACCATCAGACCCCACACAGTCTGCCCACAGGTGGTTTAGGCGGCCGCGAGGCCCCAGCCAGTGCGAGGCCTTAGGCGGCCGCCTAAACCGCCTAATTAGAGAGCCGCCTCTGTTTTGAATTCTATTCCTTATTGCATTTGATATTCTTATGTTTTCCATTATTTTTCTTTGCTTGTTTTACATCTCTCAGGACTATGCTCACTCTGGTTGCTCCTCATAACTTGCCCCACAGTCCCTAGTAGGCTTGTTTATCATTTAACGCTGACTGTATTTTTTTTCTATGATCATCTCAATAAATTGAAGATTATACTAGCTTTAGTGTACAAATAATCTTAATTTTAGTAATGACAGGGGGTGAGTATTTTGCATAATTTCTCTTTACTAGCTCCACAGCAGCATAGAAACACATAGAAAAAAAAGAACCAATCACAAGAGAGTAGGATGTACATGAGGTATAGTAACCTAAGCACATCCTCTTTCAAAAAGCGATATCAAGCAGAAGCAAACATATAAAAGCAATAACAATAACTCCTAAATCCAACATCCGAAGGAGCAAACTTCCTGTGAATTCCACACAAACAACCAAGATGTCTTAAGGGACGAATCAAACTGAAAAGAGAATGTGTGACAGGTTTAGACACATAGTCATGAACGTGGAAATCCAAGTAACACACAGTATATATCATGTCATAGTAGTAAATTGTAAACTACAATCTGATAACTGAACAACGATCATATAATGGAAATAAAATCATCCATTAAGAGTCCAACCTACCTTAGACCAGTGATACATATAAAGAAAGTGAACATAAAGGGTGGCATAGCAAAGCAGGGTGGGAAAATACTCGCTTCCTGTCATTAGTAAAATTAAAATTATTAGTACACTGAAGCTAGTATGATCTTCAATTTTAGCACATGACAGGAGGCTTCATATTTTGCCATTTTAACACGAAAGAAATAGAAAACTAATGAAGAATCTGTATAGTGCGACGAGAGACATAGACTGTTGGGATATAAGGAAAAAAACATCCATGTTCAACTCGCGAACATCCTGAACATGACGGAAACACACCAGACCAAGCAAAAAAGTCAGTCAGTAGATGCCCTGTCCCCTAGACAAACGGAGAACGATATCCACTTCCCATAAGCCGGAGGTGGATGTCACGGAGTAGTTGGTACACAAGAGGATCCTTGCCTATCAGGAGTGCCCAGACCAGTGAAAGGGTCGTTGAACTGTCCGAACTCACCACATAATGGACTGAGGTTCCGTTCCAAACACCAACCAGACCGGGAGTGCACAGATGGAGAGGCAGCATTATAGCGTCCCTGAGGCCCAAGAGTCTCCTAAGAGGTCCCTAGCAGCCTTCGATAGTCCGGCGATCTGCCAAGAACCCCAGAAAGAGTTAAGGCCAGCTTACCCTCCAGGAATAGAAGATGTGGGTTCCCCTGCAGGTCCGTGAGAAGAGTCGGTATTAATGTAGGAGGAGGAGATTTCACCGGCCAATCCCTGTAGGTCCGGGAAACAAGGTTGACTCTGTCACAGCAGGATGGCCAAGGCAGTGTTACTCGCTGAACACATAGGCGATGGAGAATCCTGGAGATCCTTGCGAAGGAGGGAAAAGCATACGCCCCCCGGGGAGGTCCAGCTGGCAGGAATTCAACCACCATTGTGCACTCCGGATCCAGCAGCCAATTGAAGAACACTGAATTCTGGTGGTCTCTCTGAAGGTTGGAGAACCAATCTGTGTTGAGATATGTCTCCCCCGGTAGTTAGCCCGCCCTCTGGGAGATCCTGCGAGGGAGGCAGAGATCGAAGATGCCTTTCATGATGTCTGATAGGAGACTGGAGCTGGCTCTGTCCAGTCTAATGATTTACCTGACTGTCAATGCTCTGTCCATCTGGAGCAGTATGCAACAAATGGAGAACTCCTTTACCAGTCTGCGGATAGTGAAGGACCCCACTAAGAATTCCAGGTATTCAATGTGAAGGGTGAATTCCTGAGTTGTGCACACGCTTTCTGTGGATGCGCTCTCACAGTTTGTCACCGCAGCCCCACAAGCAGGTATCAGACTACAGAACGAAGTCTGGTCGGTCGTAGGGGTTTGCCTTCCAGGAAGCGCCGCATGTCCCGGTAATGTAGCAGATCTGGGAAGATAGCCTGGATGGATGAGGGCAGTAGCCCACGATCCGTACAAGTGTGTGGTGTTGCAGTGGAGGATCGTGTAAATTTCCTTAAAGATGGGGGAGACCTTTGAAGGGAAAAGCTTCAGTATGCAAGACGCGGAGTCGATTACGAAACCTAAGAAGTGGATCATCCACTATGAAAAACAATGATTCCAGCCGGACCATGGAGAATTGTGAATTTTGATGCAGTCTTGAATTCTCTAAACCGAACAGAAGGATATCGCCCAGGTAATTGATCACTGGTTTCAGTAGTTTCATGAAGGTCCCAAGGATCCGAGCTGAGGAGGCAGGTGAAGTGCCAAGAGAGAACGTCATGAAGAGGGGTGGAAAAGGACCGACAGGACATGTCTTCATTTCCAGTTTCGCAAGCCAGTCGTCTAAGTGAAGAAGGTTCCTTATTAAGTTTGAATGCTGTAACGGACCGTTTTGCCCAAAAGAGGTTAAAAACCGTTTAGGCGATATTCCCCTTTTTCAGCTGCACCAACAGCTACTGCAAGCACTAATCTCCTGAACTGCAAACCCACGAATTCACCAACTCTCGAACTGCAACCAAGGGAATACTCGAAACTCCCGAACTGGAGACACACGAATAGCTGCTAGCAGACGAACAGGAAAAGCCCCCAAGCGGCTTACACTCCTGGCAATCAGTCTCTAACAGCATACAGTAAATCCTCCCCCAATAATGAGACGACACTTCACTTTGAGGGTTAAGCAGGAACTAATTTACTGTGGCTAACTGCCCGGCTTTTATGCAGGTCTCCCACCTGGTCACTGGACACCTGGACACTCCCTTAGGGGACCAAATGGAAGACTGGGACACAAAGGGTAAAAGGACCAATCACAGACTTACACATTTCAACCATCCCACAATGCCTCACAATCCTTCCTCTCTGCCCTGGAGATAATTTGGGAAGTAATTCAATTATCTCCAAAGACAGAGGCAAAACTCCATTAACCACATGGCAGAAAACAAACAGTAAAAGACATAAAATTACCTACAGTTACATTCAGCACATGTTCTACATATCCCCAGATAGCTCAGGTCTGAGCGCACATTATTAAGCGAATGGCGCTCAGACCACACGAATACAGTTTGATCGCCATGGAGCTAAAGTCTTTACACAGTCAGTTTCATGCGAATGGGCTCCATGGGATTCCTATCTGGGGAACAACACACTCAAACAAAACTACCGAACACCGGGCCGTTCGTGCACTTTCACCGAACAAGAAGGGAGGTCGGCGGCTTCAGCGGTGTTGGCGCAAAACTGTGTCCGATTTTAGTTACATGAATTAAGCGTTGAACACCGCTGTGCATTTGCATGTTTAAAATGGCCGCGACCTCGTGTTCGTGATACGAATGGCGGCCACCCAGCATTCGTCAATTAAGCTGCGGTTAACCGTAGCTTCAGGGAGGTTAATTGCCGGCACACTCCAGCTCCCAGGTGGTCTATTCATTCGTGCGGTTGTTCGGTAGATTGAATCTACCGAACACCCAGCAGAAAAGCACAAATAAGTCTTTTCTGCAGGGAAAAAAGATGTCTTTTAACATGGGGCCATAGTCCAAAGGCAGCAGGTGAGCAACCAGGCTTCTCCAGTGTACAGTGGCAAGGTTGGTTTCGCCACAAATGCCTTCCACCTAGAAGCAATGGCATCTCATGTGGGAGGTGTAGAAAGTACAGTCGATGCTACCCTAGGGACACGTACCTGAGGAAAATGGGATCTAGCGCATCTGCGCATTCCGTGTTCTCTGTCCAATCATCTGGAGCACCAGAAGGTTGTCTCTCACCCACTTCGGGTAAAGAGTTTGCGATAGCGAGGTACAGGGGTCAGATGGTCAGAAGTGGTTGTGGACATGGCCCCGCTGTCGACTAGTCCTGTAGAACCCCCCCCTAGGGAGGCTACCATGTAACACCTTCCTCATGGAGGCTTGGGTCTTGATGAGGGAAGCGGGAACATAAATGTTTGTAATAAGCTCCCTTGTGCCTTGTGCCTGGGGTCCCAGTGTTTTGGCACCCAAATCCGCCAACTATCCGTCAATACGGAGGAGTGCTGTTGTGCACTTCTCATAGGAGAGTCAAACATTGGTATTTCTGATGAAACAAAAACATCTCTGAGACCATTCACGAATATCATGAACCCATTCCCGGACGGTGCTGACATCGTCAGGTATTTTACTGTCCAGCAATTTGTCTTGGGTGTCTCTGAAACCTCTCCTGACTCCCTTGTGGGGTTGCGGCCACCAAGAGCCATGAAGGTCATCATCCGCTGTGCCACTCTGTCTGGGAGGGAAGGGCATGGGCAGTCCAACCGCAAGCGGTTACGGACATCTTTATCTAGAGGCTTGCAAAGCCACACGTGCATAAAGTTGGCCAGGTGTTTGAACATGGCTGACAGATTTTGTAGGTTACACAGCCATTGATCAGTAGGATCCAGGATTGCTTCTGTGTCTTCTTGGTCAGTAGCGTGCGAGGCACCGTCACCCTCAGCTACCTGGGGCTCACTCAAAAAAACTTGTACACGAACGCAGAGCCATATGTGGATTCCGAACCCCAGTCGTCGTCAGACCCCGATGCATCCACGTGCCTTTGTTCCATGATGGACAGATAATGTTGCAGTCCTCAGTCGAGGAGGGTTCTAACCATGAGGTTAGGGCAGGTACTGGAGTCTGTGTATTGCGATTGTTGGGGGCTTTGTCCTTAGACTATAGAGGTCTAGTGTCTTTGCCATTCCAGTGACGCTTGCTATGATGGGGGGACCCCTTAGCGGAGACATCCCAGGCATCAGAGTCCGCCCCGTAGTGGCCGATACCAGTGAGGGGACCGGCCCTTCTATCAGAGAGTGTTTTCTCACGAATGCAGCCACCGTTGTGTGTATCATGACCTGAAATTCCACAGGGTTAGCCAGGGAATCTTCCATAGTGGCAAATTGTGTGACACAGAATTGGGGCTCACCCAAAAAAGTAGACAGGTGTATTTATCATGATATGGGATACCTCTGTAAAAGGCACACATTAGTAGGCGCTTTCAGAATGCAGGGCAAACAGACCAGACTACAATAGTAGCAAGCAATGCTTACAGAAACCCCTACAGGTTTGTAATCTTAACAGTGGCCAAATAAAATAGACTGGGGCTCACCCAGTAAACATAGGCTGCAACAGCATGCCTCCACTCAGCAGCACAGTGCAGCACACATATAGTAAGGTCCTCACCCCAGGTGCACAGGATTAGAACCCTTCAGTGTTGGCCACAGCCCTGATAGAGAGCACTAAATTGTGCTCAAACAGTTAATTTAAGGTTATGGGAGATATTCGTTTTGGGAGATATTCTTTTAAGCAGTATGTCCTGTAAATCCTGTCCAGCTGTTAACAGAGGCCATAGCAGCATGTCTCCACTCAGCAGCACAGTGTTGTATAAATATAGCAGGGGGGTTCACCTCAGGTGCACAGGGTATGAACCCTTGAGTGTGGGCCACAGTTTTGACAGAGAACACTAATCTGTGCTCAAATAGTTAATTCAAGGTTATGGGAGAATGGGAGATAGTCTTTAAGCATTATGTCCTGGAAATCCTGTCCAGCAGTTAACAGAGGCTGCAACATCACGTCTCCATTCAGTAGCACAGTGCAGTAAAAATAAAGTAGGGGGCTCAGCCCTTGAGTGCAGGCCACAGTCCTGACAGAGACAGGGCCGGCGCTACCTGTAAGGCGGACTAGGCAGCCGCCTAGGGCGCCCCTTGGGAAGGGGCGCCGCCAGGAGCGCAGGCCCCGCCATGCTGCAGCCGCCCGAGCGCTCTGTACAGAGCCTCAGGCGGCTGCAGCTTTGCCCGGGCGGTGCATACATGAGGGCGGACCGCACCGCCCGGGCGCAGCATGGGGAGAGGGGCTGACAGGAGGGAGCGCTCAGCGCTCCCTCCTGTCACTCCCTCTGTAGTAGCGTGGCCGAGCCCAGTATAGTCGGCGGGTACAGAGAGCAGCTGTCTCCTGTACCTGGCCAGACTAACAGGAAGTGCACACTCAGTGTTCACTTCCTGTTAGTCCGGCCGGGTACAGGAAACAAAGGCTCCCTGTACCTCGCTACAACACAGGTAGGGGAGGAGGGGGAAGAAAGAGGGAGGGAGGGGGGAGAAGGAAACAGGGAGGGAGAAGAAAA